GGTTGACGAGAAACTATGACCTCGGAGTACGTGACGTCGTCAACATACACACTCTCTCTGAGTTTGTAATTGGTTAAAGGAGAGGCATCTCTGGATGGTTTCACTTTGATGTCAGAGTACACCACATCCTGTGAACACATGTAAGAAAATATGATAATTGCTCTCTTGTAATTAAAAAAACTATGGCAGGACAACAGCATAAATATAAATTAAATGTATCTGACCAAAACGTATTCATTCAAGTTCAAAAATGGACCCTCAAACCATGGAGCTCACCTGGTCTCTCTCAGTTGCAGATGATTGCGACTCTCTCTCTGGACCAGTCGTATCTGAAAGACATACATGTTTCGTTACAGAAAAATGAAAATAATTTAAGTATTTACAAAATCAATTAGTGGAAATTGTTGTGCATGTTCTTACCAATGACGAAACGAAACCCAGCGGAAGAATGGCGTCTGAGAAAGCAAGACAAAAGTGATTTTGGTGATTTAGAAGAGAAGTTTGGTTTTTAGCTACAATTATAAGTTTTGATCAGTCTGATGATTATAGTTTAATTGTTGTTTGGTCCGTGAAACAGCAATTAAACAGAAACAGCAAACAGCTTCCCAGAGTCTAAAGTTTCTTAAGGCTTAAAGTCTTGACCATAAAATGGATTTCCTTCCTTTATGGTGAATTTTGGCCACAAAGACGATGGATCCCTCAAATATGATTCAGTCAACAGTAGTCTCTATAATATAAATAACACACGAGAACATACACTCACCTTCTAATGCGGATGAAATAAAGCATGGCCACCATGATCGCTAACAGCAACAAGACAGCAGTCACTATAGCAAGAACTATTCCTGCTGACAGTGGTTTCGTTTCTAGCGGAATAAAGTATGATTATAGTCCACAGCTCATTAACATCAAACTAACATTAAACCAGCCTACTAACAAAAACTAGCTTTCATGTTTTACAGCATAAACATTTTAACTAAACATGGAAACTTTAATCATGAGTAATATTCGATGTTGGTAAAACTTTCTGATGTTAAAATGAATACGACACAAAAGCAGAAAAAAATTATTCAAACTGAATGTTTGGTTTGTGTCAGCTAAATTTTGAAGATTGTACCTAATAAATATTACCTCATATATAACTTTAAATGTTGTTTTGGCAGCTCAGTGTATAAAAGCAGTTACAGTCTTACCTCGAACAACAAGTTTGGTGGTTCCTTCAAATGTACCACTGGGAAAAGTGGAAATGCTGCAGGTATAGGATCCTGCATCTTTCATTTCTAGAGCCTTAATTATCAACGAATGTTTATCAAACGCCACTCTCTCCTTCAGTGGACTCTCAGAAATATTCACTCCAAACATAGTGTTGAAAACAATGAGAGTGACTTTTCCTGTTCCTTCTTCATCCTGGAGAGCCCACTGAACCTGAGTAACATTGGTGTGTGTTGGTCCTTGGATTAACTGACAGCTCAGGGTGACATCATTTCCAATGTATCCAGTCACTTCAGGTGAGACTTCGACTCTTTGTGCCACAAAAACTGCCAAAAGGTAAATGAC